CAAGAAAGGGAGGAAGAGGAAGCAGCGAGAGTTTCTGCATCGCTGGGAAACAGATTAGAATACAAAATGTGATCAGGCTGCAGTGCTTCCAAATCATTTGTAGATATCAGAGAGCATTTATATTGGATGCTGACAGAGAACTCAGGTAGAGTGATGTCCACTGCAAGCACTTTAACAGAGCAGCAACCAGCGGGGCTGAAACACCAAGGCCTGCAGTTCCTCTAATGTCCAGCAGAGACATCAGCAGTGAGTCAGTCCTCACAGAGCAGAAATAAACACGTTTACAGCCTGAAACACAAACTGTTGGGTCTCCAGAGATAATTTCCCCTTCTTAACAACATGCATTATTAGGGGCGTGGCCTCTTTGAATGACAGGTGGATGGTGAAGTTCAGGTGAAGCTGCTAGCTTCACCTGAAATGGACCTCTGCACCGTGTTTGTGCTGTTGGAGCCTTTTCATGACATCATGTGACCAATAATATGGCAGCTGTGAGGTCGCTGTACCAACAGACCATCCGAGGAGGCGGAGCTCCCATACATTTAAGGATGCAGACATTAACTAACAGCGTCTGACATTAGCACTCGTCTGATCCAAATATGGCCACTTCTGGCTCCAAAGCACGGCTGCAGCCGAAATCTTTTATATACAGTCGATGTTTTAAACAAACACAAAACCCTGAGTCACTCAGGGAAAGTTTAGAGCAAGTCTTTGAAGGACCTCTGCTAAGCAATCGAAGCCTCGATGTGTTTTGCAGGCCGATGTGTTCTTACTGATGGAAAACGACTAATGTCAGGTCATGTGGAAAATGCAGATGCAGAGAAGTAAAACAAACCCTCCAAAATAACAGGATAGTCCAACTAAATTCAAACTGACAGTCAGTCTGAATCTGGTGTTTGAAATTGGGGCCGTTTGACAGCAAATTCCCAGCTGCTGCCTTTTGTTTCCAGGCCGCCTCGAGTGCTGGTAAAACGTCTTGTTGTGGGGATTTAAATGCTGCTCAGCTTTCTGGCTGTGCTCGCTAACAGGCCGTAGCATATATTAAATGGATTTGTTATCCTCCCAACAAAGGATAAAGGCCTTTCGCTGCCGCTGCATTCATTGTGTGCAGTTGTGCTCACTCAGCTGTGCGGCTGTGTCTCAACAACATCGGAGTTTCTGAATGAACCAAACTACACACGGGATGAAAGCTGATCGTCTGTGGAGCGCTTAATGCTGGTGTTCGGATCGCACTCGTGCGTTTAAATCTCGCCTTTGCTTTGGCGTTCGTGCCGGGTCGCCCACCCGGCCACACGCCACAAACCTGTCACTGTCGTAATGTGTTTCACTGGGTTTAGTCCAACTTCAGGAGGCTGGTTTTGATGGCACATCACTTCTTGAGAACTATTTTAATATTTAACTGAAGCTCCATGGGTGCACTGTTCCTTTAACAAATATCCCTGCACAGAAAAACTCACTGAAAAGATGTCGTTTGCAGATCGAAATAAGTGACGCCTCCTCTAATGTGTAAACAGGAAATGAAAACAGAAAGCAATAAATAAATCACAAAGACATATTTCAGAACATGGGAAACATATCAAGTATTTAAATGGAAACATTTTATTATTTCATGAAACATATGAGCTCATTTGATTTATGAGGCAGCAACATGTCTCTAAAAAAGTTGGACAGTGACAAAAAGGCTGGAAAAGAACATTTCACTAAACAGCAACAGCCGGAGCGACGCTGTAATCAGCTTATTTGGCAGCAGGTCAGGAACATGACAGCGTTTGAAAAGAGCTTCTCAGAAGATGAGCTGGGCAGAGGTTCACCAATCAGCCGAAAGCTGCCTGCAATCTGTGCGCTGCATTAGACAGACGCGAGTCTGTGGTGACATCAGTGCGTGGGCTCAGCGTGCCGCCCACACGTGCAGGTTAAAGCTGCATCATGCAGAGAAGAAGACAGATGCGACCGTGTTCCAGAAACAGCACCGCCTCCTCCGAAGCTCCTTTAAAATCCACTGAAGCAAAGTGCAAACTGATCTGAGGTCAGAGTTCATAAGACCGCCATCAGACCAGGACGGGACAACGTCCAGCAGCTGCTCAGCTCACAGACCATCACAGGCTAAAGGTTAAAGGTTAAAGAGGAGGACACGGACCCGTCCAACTTCTAAAGATGTAAATAAAATAAAAGTAAAACCAACATGATTTTTGAATGGAATTGAAACTGAGATGTGTTTAAAATAGTTTAAAGAGTTTGTTTTCTGTGTTTCGCTGTGAATAAACTCGGGGCAGCGTAACGGCAGCGTACACTGAACGACAGGCTTCCTGTGGTCAGCACTGAAACAACATGGACACATCTTTGGACGAAGATCAGACGAGGACACAGACAACATGACGCTGCTGACCTGAGTCCTCCAACAATACCACATCTTTGTGCCCATTAGAGGAAATAAGCTATTGGCTGTGGACTCCGAGCTTAACGAGAGAGAAAGTTTTAGGTGCACCTCCGTACAGCTACTCATCAAACCTCTTATGAAACACTTTCACTGGACGTCCGACCACATTTATGTTCTTGTTTATTTTTTCCACTGATTTAACTCTAAAGTTGGCAGAAGAGAGTTTGGTACGGGCGAAGCTTCTGACACACACACACACACACAGACACACAGACACAGACACACACATACACACACACACACACACA